CTCTCTCTCTCCCTCCACACATACCTCTCCTCACGATTGGCCGGGTCATATGACGACAACAGGAATATGCTGCCAACGCACGACCCACTGACTTTCTGATGACACTCAAGGGCATCCGCATTGTCGACAAGACGAACCAGCAAGTGGCCATGGCCCATGCTCTGCAACGCATTTCCATGTCTTCCATCGTCAGCGAGAAACGACTTTTTGGCCTTGTGGCTAAAAATCCGGGCACCAAGGACAAGTATTGCCATGTGTTCAAGATGGCACGAAGCCAACACACCGAGACGGCCCAGGCTTTGCTCTCCAAAGCGTTTAAGCTAGCCTTTGCAAAGAACCGCAGTCTCAAAGCCATGCCTTCTGGTGCCAACGCCGCCGCAAGCCCCGCCCCAACTGGGCCGCCCGCCGCCGCGCAACCCCGGCCACAGCCCTCGGCGCCCAATCAAGAGGATCATCGTCGCTGGGCCAAGCAAAATCAGCTCGTTGGTTCGTTTTGTCGCGCTGCTCCCGTATGCAAAAGGCAATGCCGTTCCTGTTGGCACCATGACAGTAGAGTTGACGCCGTCAGTTTCACGTGTCCGTTACATGCATGGTTCAACAAAATGTGCATGCGCGCCCCCTATTAGGCCTGCGTCAGGTTCAAGAGAGCTCGCGCCACCCATCCCCAGCCCTGTCGCCGGCTGAGCACCAACCCAAACCCCCAACCGCTCCGACGGAACAACCAGCCGCCGCACAGCCCAGCGGTAAGACCCAGTGCACAGACTTTGTAAGGTATCACGCACACGTCTGAAAACGAGGCCTTGTCTGTGGCGCATGCAGAACGCATTCAGGTTCATCGAGGCCGAGATTTGGCCCTACAACCGGTGCTGTCACTGGACGATGGTTTGTATCCTACTTGTATCGTTGGCGTTCCTGGACATCTCAAGCGGGCCTGATCATCTTGACATTTGGCTTGCTATCGTTCCCACTTGCTGATTTGGTGTGCCTCCTTGATCGCTTTTATTTGCAGAACAAGACGACATGGGCCTTGGAGAAAACTACTTGCAAGAGGCACCCTGGTATCAAGCGGGTCAGTCCTGTCCTCGCGCGTTGCACTCGAGACATTCAGCAAATGTAAAGCTGTGACGAAGATGCTCACACTGCGATGACGCATTTGATTTCAATGCCATCAGGGCTACCGCGCGAAATCGCCGTGGAGCTTTTGGCCATGAGTGAGGACGGCGCCTTCATCGTGCGCGATAGCCAGAGTCAAAAGGGCTGCTATGCTTTGACCATGAAAGCCCATGGCGAGATTAAAAACTTTATCATCAAGGCCATTCCCGAGGTAAATCAGGCACAAAGCGCACGGCCGGTCCAGTACTTTGCTGATCTTGATGCATGGTTTTAGGGCTACATCATTGGTGCTGCGGCGGACGGCGAACGCCCTTACGCCTCCTTGGCTGAACTCATTCTGGCGCATGCCGAGTATGTTACAAACATGGTCGCCGCTCTTTGTGTCTTGGTTGGATCTGTTATTGTATCTCATCACCCTTTGCTTTTTGACTCGCCGTGCCCTCAACCTCTGTCCCTCTCGCACGTGTGATTGCGCATGACATTTGACCTCGTTGCTGGGCGGTCAACAGACGACGTGGTGTTTTGCCCATGGTGCTGAGCCTCGACACTGACAACAAGCTGTACAACGAGGCCAACGGCGCCGGCGCCGGAGGTATGCATTCTCTCTCATCTCCACCGCATGTCAACCAGTGCCATTATGTCATTTGTGCTTGGGTCACAGCAGAAGTGCTAGATTATTCATCAATCTTTGCCCGCATGCAGATGAAGAGGAGGAAAGTTATGTCCATCCCGATTACCAGTCTGTGTTGCCGCTAGCTGACATGTTGGGCTAAAAAGCCACGCCTGACTTCAGACAAGCGTTTTGGCTACAAACTGGACCAGACCCCAAATCGATTTTTTTTTTTGTTTGTTTGTTTGTTTGGTTAACTTGTTCGCATGTCGTTTTCCGTTCCACCTACAAGCTCGTGCTGAATTGAGTACCCCGCGCTTCTCTCAATTGCGTCTCAAGCATGTTTCTTAGCAGGCCGCTACCTCTCAATGTCCACAACCAGGTGAAATAGTCAATTATTAATCAATAATAATAAGGCAGAGGAAGCAGACCTCGAATCATTGAGGCTTCAAAGCAGACGTGTGGTCGCTATGGCGGTTTGAGCTCGTTGCTCGCTAGTCGTGCCGGGTCTTGACACCGGATCATGAATGATGGTGAATATTTTTGCAATTAAGGAGGGTTTTTTTCCCATTTTCAGCACAAACTGCCTCACTGACTTTTCGTTATGACTGTGAATTCACTCAAGCCAATGGGAGCCGCTTTTCCTGATATGGATATCCATGCTGGTGTGCGCGTGTGAGCTGAATAGTTTCCGGGGTGGGGTGCAACGTCCTCCAGACCCTTTTCAGCTTCCAAATTTTCTGAGGCAGTCCATTTCCAAAGCGAAAGTCTTCCATTGTACGTTATCCACGAAATGATGACTCGGCGTGATTCGGTAGTACTCCCCCAGGTTTGGGCAACAAGTGCGCACGGCATGGAGCGGGGGTCAACTGAACGGTGTAAAAATTGCTAAATTGGATAGAAAATACGCGACAGCAACCTGGCACGCTTCTACAATCACACATAAAACACATGGAAAGTCCGACATATGAATAGCAGATGTGTGTGGTGTATCAGCCCTTCACCCCTTGGGAGCTGCAAAAGACCAGCTCAACAGCAAGAGGACGGACAGGCAGTCAGCACACTTCAGCACATGGGAAACAGCACACTTTTTGATTACACGTAGAAGACGCGAACTCGTGAGGTGCCGAGAAGGCGGTCACCGTCATAAAACAGGGTTTCAATGACCACATTGCCACTGTGACGCCACACAGTCAGGTGAGCTGGACCACAAGTTGTGGGAGGCACAGGGCAGTGGTTTTGAGGAGTAGTCTTGCAGATCAAGGTTTGGCAATAACAGACCTGAGCGCACTGGCAGGCATCATCTGGGCTTCGGGCGCTGCCTCGATGGTGTTTTGCCATGTGTTGGTTGAGTCGGGAATCACGAAGCCAAACTTGAAGTGCCATTCTACATGGACAGGCGCTCGGTGAGAAGAAGGATTGTTATGCCTCATGAAATTGGCGGCCACGACGTACCTTCGATGACGGTGCCATTAAAGTGAACACGCTGCTCGAGACGAAAGTCATCGAGAGCATCCTATGATCGAGGCCGCAGCAGGCGTCAAAGATATCAGCCCATTCATGCGGTGTACCGGCGCAGTCACGACAGAACAGTCGCACAAAACAAACCTCGGACCAAAACTCAATCTCACGCGAGACGGCGCGACACTTGAGGAGCTTCTTGGGCACGCGGGCTGCCAGGTGCAAAGCAAACCAAACACTGAGCACGAGCAGCCGCCATGGGCAATCAAGACGTATGTTTCAGCGAGTCGGTGAGCGGAGACACAGACGGGTGAGAAGATGGGTACACACCTTCATGTTCGCGATCTGCGGCCGAGCTGTGTCAAGCGCGAAAAAAGGGGTCCGAGCAAGCAAGGATTCAAGTCAGTGTGTGCCTGCTGAACCATGTCCCCTTTGCCACGAGTCCTTCCCAAGCCTGTGGCGCTTGGGAACGAATGACGTACAAGTCCTCCATTTTCTGCCAGAAGATTTTGCCGGTGTCAGCATCTCGGAGGTTCATTGATTTCCTACGCGGCCAGAACACGCAGGCGTAGGCATTGGCAATGGCGGGTGTGGAAGTGAGCGGGGCTTTGACAAGTCGGGTGGAGGTCTGAGGTTGGCCAGCTTCGGGGGCGTGGCTGTGTGCGTGCGAGGTGTGTGACGGGAGCGAGCAGGAAGACCTACACGGCAAATGGTGCCATGGCGTTGGTGTGCACGGCTGCTACCCCCGACCAATGCTGTCTAAACAGGTCAATCAACCTTGCGGCCGGTGTTTTGCTCGGCCTGCGGCTAAAGCATAGACGGGACGAGGAATGTGAGACCCATATGCAACAGAGCCGGCCGCATAATGCGACAATGGCACGAAATGGTGAGGCTCTGGTTGCCTTTTCAAGCACGGTGCAAAGCAGGGTCGTTGGGGCCCGAGAAGGCTCCATGGCCTCGGTTGCCAACTGCCTCACCTATTTTATTTGTATGTTTCTTCTGCCATAAACCAGCAGCCACACGACGTGCACGGGACGTTCCACCCCAGTCCACGCCCCAGCCTCTCAAGAACCCCGATCAAGCCGCAAGGGAATCCGCCACCACTGCCCTTCGCTGCCCCCTCCTGCTGCTGCTGCTGCTGTTGCTGCTCACTGCTTTTTTTTTGACTGTTTTTGAAAATGAAAAGAGAGACGAGTTTGAGAGAGAGAGAGAGAGTTTGCGAGAGAGAGAGAGAGATTCAAGAGAGTTTGAGAGAGTATGAGAGAGAGAGAGATTCAAGAGAGTTTGAGAGAGAGTATGAGAGAGAGTATGAGTTTGAGAGAGAGTATGAGAGAGAGTATGAGTTTGAGAGAGTTTGAGAGTTTGAGAGAGAGATTCAAGAGAGAGAGGGATTCAAGAGCCAATCACTGATAGCATTTGATTTTGGGAAATGGGCAGACAACGAGTTGATCATCACAGATGATAACGGGATACCTGGGGGTCATTCTTGTTTGCAGCAGGGGGGTGGGTGCAAAGGAGGAGCCACAAGGACGGCAAGGGGCAAGAGCTTGCTCAGGCTTGGGCTTGGTAGGCCGCGATAGGGAGAGGCTGCTGTTGACATATTCATGTAACGTAAAGCTTGAAGCTTAGACCTGAGGTGAGGGGGTGGTATTCGACAGATGGCAGTTCCAGGGCGCATTGAAGCCTGGGAATTTGACGGGTTGGGTCATGTTCGTGGGCGGGCCTTCGTCCTCGTCGCCGCTTTGGGGTGGGGTCTCGAGTTCCATGTCCTCGTCGTGGATGATGAGGTCCTTCTCCGCATCCACGGCTGCTTGGGCCTCGAGCTCTGGGTGGCACCAATGATGATACTCGCGCGGTGTCCAATCGGGTGGGTATCCAACCAACAGCAGACGGCGGAGGAGATCCACGGGCATGCCTCCTTCGACGGGACCCAGGGCTCGGCTTAGGCCTTCGGAGATCTGGCCAGGTCGCATGGCTTGACGCCAGGACACAGCTTGGGGATCCTGGCCAGCAGTGTCGGACCGGTAGAAGCGGCCTCCAGTCAGACCGGCAGCATCGGCACGCTCGTCTTGCTGCCGGCGGAATTCAGCCAAGTTGGCATGAAAGGCGGCACGATTAAAGGGCTCTGGACATTCCCGTGCGCTGTGGCCCGGCTGCTCGCAGTTGAAACACAGGCTCTCCATGAGGACCGACTCGCCCTCGCCCTCGGTCTCTGGACCCAGATTGCTGAGGGGGTCATCGTAATCTTCACGATAGAGCGGTACCTCCAGTGACGCGGGCCCAGGCGTAGCTGTCATCCCCGCAGTGTCCAAGCAAAAGCTGGCCTCACCAAACTCGGGCTCACCATCGTCAGCGTGGGTGACACTCTCCGCCGCCGGCGATCCTCCTGCCCGGGTCGCCATCTCAGCGACACACACCTGGCCAACATCACCCTCCCCTGCCATCCTTCCCCTTACCACCAACGCTCGACTGCCCCCCTCCAACCCTCAACCATCCTCCATCCCACACACGGAGAGAGACGGAGGCTGTGAGAGAATGAGTGAGAGACAGTGAGATTTGAGAGAGAGAGAGAGAGTTTGAGGAGAGAGAAACTAAAGTGTGTGTGTGTGTGTGTGTGTGTGTGTGTGTGTGT